ATATATAATGTCTATTAATATTATTTTCATTACTTTTGTTTAAAGCGATGGAGAAATAAATTTATGCAAAATTTTTTACAAATACTAAATATAATTAAAAATAAAAAAATTTTACCGCAAGTATTTTGTGGCAAAAATTTTCATTTACGTAATAATGCTTATAAAGTGTCTGAAAATCTAATGCTAATCCATGCGAATCCATAAACAAACGTGTAATTCACATAAACTTCCCGTTCAGTTGGTTTACATAAAAAACATTATAATAAGATATTTCAACAATAAAATTAAATATAAATTATTGCAACAAAAAAAGTTTTGTTTCGTTTTCATTGAATTTTTCCCGTTTGTCAGAGAACTTGAAAATCATTTCTCGCTATACATTACAAGAGCTGTTATTTTTCACTTTGTATTTAAAGTAATTAAATTAAATTTATTTTATTGCTATAAAACATATACCACTCTATAAATAATGCAACAAAAATGTTTGGGAAACTAATTGTGTATTTTTTTCGGTGGAATTAAGAAAAAAATTGTTTTCCCATTTTTCAGTAATTATTTGTAAATTCATTAAGAGATGAAAAATTTTGCATAAATTTATTTCTCCATCGCTTTAAACAAAAGTAATGAAAATAATATTAATAGACATTATATATATTTTTTGTGCGAAAAAAATTTTTCCCCAAAAAATATCCTCAAAATTATACGATAGGAGAGAGAAAACTATTGCAAAAAAATACAAACGTCTGTCTCTTCCACACCAGATATAGTGAGAGAAAACTTTTCATTTCATTTTCTGGTCTTTATTTTTACATTTTTATTACCAAATGTTTAGTTAACACAAATTTTTTTGTTTTATTTGTTTGACAATTTGTTTTGGTTAAGAAAAAACTTTGTTTCATTTGTTTCACTCAAACCACTTGTCGATCCACGAGTCATATCATGTCCGATAAGATCTTCACGTTATCTCAAACCCCATTCGTGCGGATTATTGAACAGCCGGCCAGAGGTGGCACTCGATTCCGGTACGAGTGCGAGGGTCGGAGTGCCGGCTCTATTCCGGGGGTCAATTCTACTCCAGATATCACTACATATCCTGCCATTCAGGTGACCATTTCTCACATCTATGTTAAATATATATTTTTAATGTTTATATTTTTATTACTTGGTAAAAATTTTTAATTAGTGTTTAGCAAAATTATTAATTAGACAATTGGCAAATTTATCATATTAATAAATTTAGTTGATGATAATTTTTATTTACATGATCACTGGTAATATGTTTAAATAACATTATTATTTTAAAACCATATGCATTATATCAGGTGGTGAACTACACGGGCAGCGCACTGGCAATCGTGTCGTGTGTGACCAAAGACTTCCCGTATAGACAACACCCGCACAACTTAGTGGGCGAGCGCTGTACTAATGGTATCTCCAAAATGATTGTCGACAACAAAGACATGATCGCAACCTTCCCATCGATGGGCATTCAATGCGCTAAACGTAATGATATTCGGGTCCGTCTCAAGCGTCGACAGGCCCTACAGATTGATCCGTTTGACTGCGGCTTCGATCACATGAATTGTTCCTCCTTTGAGATCAACTTAAGCGCCGTTCGGTATGTATTGCCTGTCGTTTGTATCTAATGGCCAATAATTATGTGAATATTATTTGTTTAGTTTGTGTTTTCAAGTTCTGCTCGAAGACCCGAAAACTGGTCAGTACTCTATTCCTCTGCAACCGGTTGTGTCGGACGTCATCTTTGATAAGAAGTCCTGCAATGAACTCAATGTGATTGACATCTCATCCAATACTATATCGACAAATGGCTCAAAACTAATGCTCTTCACGTCGTTTGTGTTGAGAGACGACATCGAAGTCCGCTTCTATGAACTCGACGACCAAAATGCGGTCAAATGGCAAGACTTCGGTGTCATTGCATTCATCTACAGACACATCGGTATCTCATTATTGACGCCCAAATACATTGAGCCCATAAACGAGGAAAAGGTTGTATATTTGCAATTAAGACGTCCGTCCGATCACGAGCTCTCGGCTCCCATCAAACTCCGATTGATTCACGTGTCCGACCACGACATGGATGTCAGCCAATCCACACCATCTCTTATTACAAGTAAGACAATCGCACCGTTTCTATGATTTAGTTACTAGTAATGTATTTGTAATTTAATTTAATTGTAAATTAATTTATTTATTGATTATCTGTTTTTGGCAGAGATCTCTCGACCATCTCAGGGCTCGAGTTCATTGTCATCGTCGAGGAAAAAGCTATGCGGAACCAGTGATTCGTGGAAAGAGATTGTACTGAAAAAACCCGACTTTCCGTTCCCTATACTGAAGGCTGCCATCAAACGGGAAATATTTGTTAATCCAGTAATTAATTATTATTACATAATACTATTGTATAGAAACAAAATTAACTAAATTTGTTTCCCAATTATAGCTGAAATCACACGCATTTGAAATGAATCCACAAACACATAATCCATACAATTATAATCACATCAATAATAATAATATGAAATGCCATCAAAAAGAGTTGTGTTTAACGAAAGCCTATAGTAATAGCGATTATAACTCACAATCAATGCTTAAATATAATAATCATAGAAATATATCGACAAATACGACAACTACTCAACGATCCTATGATATAAACGATGATCAAAATCTGGTCATCGATTTGACCACCGGTTTTGATGCGACCAAACATTACGCTAAACAACAACAACACCAACGGATAGATGAGTGCAATTCACGCCGTAGTCCTCCTCAACGACATCCGCAGCCGACGACACATCAAGACGTGAACGACTTCTGCTGTCAAGTGAATACCATGGATGACACCGACATCGATGTTGAGGCCAACGATGATTCCAACGATTCCAGCGGACACTGACATTAGTTTTGGTGTCCATTTAGGTCACAGAATATTCTGTGAATTATTACAATTATTACTGAATTTATTTTTATACACTTTTGAAGTTTTGATTAGTTGTTAAATTTGTAAATAAATAGTTTTTAATTGCAATTTAGTTATTATAATAAAAATTGTATTTTATAAAATAAAAACCCATGGTGATGGAAAATTATTGTTTTATTACTAGGAAAATATAATTATCTAAATAATTAAGAGTAAACAAAAAGTGTTATTTGATTTGAAAGGTAATAATTAATAACATGTTAAAATAAGTACGAATTAAATATTAAATTACCTTCAATTCAAATTACAACTAAAAGATCACTGAATGTAAAATCATTTAAATTTTTTATTAAATCATTTATAATTTGTTTCCATAAAAATATAATAGTTTGAATAATAGGAACAAATAGCTTATATATACGTGTATTTAAAAATATATGTTACAATTAAAAATTAAAACCTTGTCATAAAATTTGATGAAAAAATCAATTGCAAATCAGATGTAAAAACTTTTACATATTTAAAACAAAAGGAAAACTAATTCAAAATCAAATGATTTACTTTACATGTTATGTATTGAGCGGAATATTATTGAAAACTTATCGTATATTTAGTGTTGTGTTGAGTTTGATCGGCAAATCTTCCGACAATTTTAAATAATTATATAATCAACACTTGTTTTGAGGCAATTTTTAATCTAAATATGATTTTCTATTGCTTTGATTGTAATCTAAAAATGATTTCCTAAATTATTTAAAAAAAGTATTCATAAAATCTTAAATATATAGCAAATAAAAATATATTCATTCCTCAAATTGAATATAATTTTACTAAAAAAATACTTTTTCTTATCAATTAGTTTCGCTGGAATTCATATAAAAAACCTATCATAAAAACATGGTAATTATCACTAAACACTTCAATAAAAAGCTACAATTAAGTGGACAACTAGTGTTAAGTGACATTAAGGTTAGTTCTGTTGATTTTGGCCACCAAATCATTCAACTCGAGGCGTGAGTTCTTGCGGTTGACGGTATCCCTGGGCGGGACATAGAGTCCCATTTGTTCCATGCTGATTTTGCGTCGGTGCTCCTGTTTGGTGGCCACAGCGGCCACGAGTGCCGCCCCGCGACCGCTCCCGTCCTCCGACAGCATCAGATCAAACGTGTACTCAGGACTCACTAACTCCGATATCTTCTCCATCATTAGGTTATGGAAATGGGGGTGAAATTTATACACCGATCCGTCGACACCAACTGTTGTGTGCTTTCGTTTCATCTTATTTAATATAGTGGCCACCGCTGCCGACACCAGATGTGCCGCACGGGTCGACACCCTCTTACAGACCTGTCATGTATGACAACAATTGATAGTTTATCGTTAGTTATGGTTTTGAATACAGGAAATGCATATTTGAATTGCCGACCAGTTTAACGATATCGCAGTCATCGAGTGTGGCGTCCCTTTGATCCATGGCTGACATCACTTGACGCGTTAATATGTAATCGTTTTCTTTGTCTGACTCGACGGCCGATATGTATGCGGTTTGGAAGGCCTTCGGTGTCAACATTTTCTCCGATCCCTTGCCTTCAAAGACGAGACCCCTTTGGATGAGGTCTACGAGAACGCAACGAACCGTTTCTCCCAAATACATGCCTGATATCATCTTTTCAAACCTTATAAATCAAATAATAATTCTATAGTTAGTATCAATATTTGTTAATTAATTATTGATTATTAAGTTTTAATTCAGACGATAACTTGTGTGAGAATATTAGTATTTTACATAACTTACAATTGTTTGCCTTTATTGAGTGAAATGCTGTCCACCTGATCGTCCCAATCGGTTCGGATGAAATGGAGGACTCGATTATCACCGAAAGCACCCAATTCTGTGTTCACCACCACTTGGTTCACATCCGGGAAGTCTTCGCTAAACAGTTCCACATTTTCCAGTGTCTCCATATAGCAAGCGTTGGCTCCGGTCCCTAATATACAGGTGCGAAATGGGTTTGGTTTGCATTTTTTTAAATTATTTAAATTCCGTTATTATCTACAGAATACTACATGAGTTGTAGTTTGCATTTAATTAAGTTATTTCATAATTACCAATAATGAGGCCAACCCTACACTCCCGGTTCTTGAGCGCGCACGACATAAACCGTTTCTCCCAAATACATGCCTGATATCATCTTTTCAAACCTTATAAATCAAATAATAATTCTATAGTTAGTATCAATATTTGTTAATTAATTATTGATTATTAAGTTTTAATTCAGACGATAATTTGTGTGAGAATATAATTATTTGACATAACTTACAATTGTTTGCCTTTATTGAGTGAAATGCTGTCCACCTGATCGTCCCAATCGGTTCGGATGAAATGGAGGACCCGATTATCACCGAAAGCACCCAATTCTGTGTTCACCACTACTTGGTTCACATCCGGGAAGTCTTCGCTAAACAGTTCCACATTTTCCAGTGTCTCCATATAGCAAGCGTTGGCTCCCGTCCCTAATATACAGGTGCGAAATGAGGTTTGGTTTGCATTTTTTTTATTATTTAAATTCCGTTATTATCTACAGAATACTACATGAGTTGTAGTTTGCATTTAATTAAGTTATTTCATAATTACCAATAATGAGGCCAACCCTACACTCCCGGTTCTTGAGCGCGCACGACATCAACGTACCGGTCGTGTCGTTGACAACAGCCATCACATCCACGTCTATGTCCTAAATACCAATGGATGCGAAAGAAATTTGCTTACATTTAATCATCGCAAACAACACACCACTTATCGCGATAAGCAAAACAAATGCAAACATACGTGTCTTTTGTCAATAGCTTCTCTGAGCAGCTGAACCACGTCCTCGCCCTCAACACCGGAGCACTTGAATCCTTTGGTCCATTGTGTGAGTCGGGCAGAGGTCAGGCCCTCCTGTTTGCACGGGAAGCTGAATGTGAAGCCCAGAGGTATCCTATACTGAATCACCTTTCGCTGTGACATAAACATCGAAATACAACTCGCGATGTGATCGAAGAGCTATACATCACATCCCCGGGTGTTCACAGATATGGAAATTATTTTAAAATAAAAAATTGTCATTTTCTTTATCAACAAATCATTATCTTATAGATTATGTATCAAAATCAGGAGACTTTTCGCACTACTATTTACTGATTAGAAATGTGCCAAAAAACTTAAACACTAACAGCGCTTGTGATTTATAAACATTAAAGTCCTGATCGGTGTATAATTAGCATGTGGTTTGTACATGCATAGGTTATGGTAGTTTTAAGCGTAAGGATCAATGAGCTTATATACCTGATCGCCGGTGCCGTG